ATTGTGCGCGTGTTCGTTCTGTGAGCATGTGTGTTTGTCTGCGTTTGTTTGAGTTGTTTTGTTGATGGCGTTGTTGTTCACGAGTTTATAGCGATGTACGTAGTTGTTTTTTTTTTGAGAACAAAACTTAGTGTAAAACACCTGTACGAACACACACACAAACCTACACACAAACACACACACACAAACACACACACACAAACACACACAAACACACACACACAAACACACACCACAGTCAATCCAAGAAAGCATCGAAATCCCTGGAACAGACATCCGTCTACTCTACCATTCTAAAAATAGCCTCATCCACCTCTCTTACGTCACCATCCTTCTAATCGGTGACGTCATACCGCGTGACCTCGTTCTAGTTCATCTGGCGATCAGTGTAGAGAGTAATTATTTGAAGAAAACGCTGAACGCCAAACGAAATTTGTACTACACCTTCAATTGGGACAAGCAGGATAAGTATCAGCAGAAGATATACGGAGTCTCCACTGTCAAAGGTCATAAGGAGGAGGATGTTTTATTATTATTATTATTATTATTATTATTATTATTATTATTATTATTATTATTATTATTATTGCAATCAATTTTTTTAATAAAATATTTGAAAAAAAAATTTAATTTGATAAGTAATAATAAAGCAATATACAGATCATCACCATAGGTATTAGATTATCCATTATTTTAATCTTTTAACTAATATAATATTTGATCATTTTATATTTAATTGTAATTTTCATTCATATTTTTGCTTTTGAAGAAATAAAAGAGTTCTCATTATTATTATTATTATTATTATTATTATTATTATTATTAGTAGTAGTAGTAGTAGTAGTAGTAGTAGTAGTAGTAGTAGTATTAGTAGTAGTAGTTCTAGTAATAGTAGTAGTTGCAGTAGTAGTAGTAGTAGTGTTGTGGTAATCGTATGAGTAGTAGTAGCAGTAGTAGTAGTAGTAGTAGTAGTAGTAGTAGTAGTAGTAGTAGTAGTAGTAGTAGTAGTAGTAGTAGAAGTAGAAGTAGTAGTAGCAATATTAGTTGCAGTAGCAAGAATAGTATAGTTACTATTTTCATTATTTTTTTATTATCTCTTATTATTTTATTCTTTTATTATTTGATAATAATAAACTTTTATTATTATCAAGAGTCACATAATTCTTTTTACCATTTTCCTTATTGAAACGAACAGTATCTGTCGGTTACGAGTACATGGGCTGCAGCGAAATTTTTTGGACAGTATCTACCGGCAGGATGGTTGCTTACTCCTGGAACCCAATGGACTTTCATAAGTGGAGAGTTAACGTCCTACATGCCTACGATCCTTCTGGAGGTGTGTGTGTGTGTGTGTGTGTGTGTGTGTGTGTGCGTGCGTGTATTCATCTTATAACTGAAAATATTACTAAATCTGACTTCAACATATTAGAATATGAAATATTTTCCTGTCAATGCTTAAGTGCTTAAGTCCTTAAAAAGTAATTGAGTTTATAATTTTAAAATATCTACTGACTGTGTGTGTGTGTGGGTGTGTTGTGTGTGTGTGTATGGTGTATTTCTGTGTGTGTGTGTGTTTGTATGTGTGTATATGGTGTATTTGTCTGTGTAAATTAAAAGTAGAGTCTTTGCCGCCTTTGTAACTTGCCAGGCATCTTACACCGTGGAGATGGCAGTATGTTTTTATTCAGAGACCAACCTCCGCACATCACTACTTATATCGGAGATGGCTCGATTCGGAAACACGAGTGCAAGAGATGTGTCGAGACGATATCGGAATGTCGGTTAATTGCTCCGGTCGATATTGTCGAAGGCACCGATGGTTCTCTCTACATGGCTGATTATAATTTCGTTAGGAAGATCTCGCCCGAGAATAATAGTGTTACCAACGTCTTGCAGTTGAAGTGAGTCCCTTAGTGGTGGTTGTTTCGAAATTAAAATTTTTAATAGAATTCACTGCATTTATTTATTTAAGTTTACGTTGATTCATTCATTCATTCATTCATTCGTTCGTTCGTTCGTTCATTCATTCATTCATTCATTCATTAATTCATTCGTTCGTTCGTTCATTCATTCATTCATTCATTCATTCATTCATTTATTCGTTCGTTCGTTCATTCATTCACTCATTCATTCATTCATCCATTTTATTTTTTCGACAACCAGCATAACCGACGTATCGTACAAGTACTACCTAGCCGTCAACCCGCTAGATGGCTCGGTATTCGTTTCAAACTACAAAAACTATCGGATCTTGCGGATAAAGAACACCAGCTCTTTTAGCGACGCCGCGAAAAATTTTGAAGTTTACGTGGGTACTGGCGAGCCCTGCATACCGGGTGATAAAGAACTCTGTGGAGATAATGGGCCTGCCATTCAGGCAAAACTATTTTTTCCAAAAGGTTTTTATTTCTTTGTTTTTTTCTGTAAAAATGTTTGAATTTTATTTTATTTTAATAATCAATTTTAATGGTAATGGTGACGGTAACTAATTTGATACACTACTCATAATATGATTGTGATAACAATAAAGATGACGAAATGAAGAAGATATCGAGATGACGAAATAGCCAAGCCATGAATGCAAATTTGAATGACGTTAATTGTAATTAGGATTTAAAATAATTATGAAAAATTCACGCACACACACGCACGCGCACACACACAGGCATAGCTATAAACAAAGATGGCGTCCTGTATATAGCTGATGGAAAGAACGTACGAATGGTGAACGGTGAAGGAATAATAACGACAGTTGTTGGCACACCAAAATTGCCTGGACCATTCATTCCATTCCCTTGCTCAGGGGTCTCTATGGCTTCTGACGTAAGCTCTCTTTTGTATGACGTCATCGTCAGAATCGCGGTCTTCAATTTTATTATAGTTTCCATTCAATGTTCTTAATCAGTCTTTGATGCAGTTACTATCATTTGTACTATCTTCATCGTCGTCGTCGTCACCATCATTAACATCATCATCTGAATCACCAGTCTTTTTCTTCATCATCATCATTACCATCGTCATAATTACACTCACGATCACTACAACCAATCACGATCCAGGTAATGTTACAGTGGCCAACCTCTCTCTCCATCAACCATTTAGACGAATCTCTTCACATACTCGACAACGGCATCATATACCGACTGACGCAAGAATCTCGGCTTCACGTCGTCGCCGGCCACCTCAACCACTGCCTACCACAAATGTCAAAATCAAAATTTACGAAAAACCTCCACTCTACCGATTACCGATTCGAACATCACCATCATAATGAAGAACCGATTACATTTGCATTTGCACCGATACCGAATAACCGATCAGTTCAGAATTCCGCTAGCAAGAAAAACGCTATAAACGGAGATTCATCAGCGTGTTTGCTGAACGCCAGACATATATCAATATCGAACGATGGTGAAATATTTGTTGTCGTAAGTAACGGCAAAGACGTAAACCGAATCGTAAAAATCGACTCGGACGGTAAGCTCCAGCACATCGCCGGTTTACAAAAAGGCGGTTGCGACTGCCAGAGGCAGGACTGCTCGTGCAACGATCTGAAGAAAACACTGGCCAGCATCACTCCCCTCAACTCGCCGTCCAGTCTGACCGTCACACAGGATGGCACGATATTCGTCGCAGATACCGGTAATAACCGAATCCGAATCGTGAAACCGCAACTTCCCGAGAGGAATAATTTAGGCGAGTACGTCATAAAAGACGGAGATCTCATCTACGTTTTTAGCGCCGATGCACACTCCGAGACCATTAACGCAAAAACCAACAAAACAATTTACACGTTCGTAACGAAGTCGTACGACCTGGACTCACTGGTTATCCACGAGAACATGCACTCCTTGATTGAGTTTAAGAAAAGTGAAAGTAGGATTAATATAACTGTGAACGGTACACAGAAACACACGTTTGTGGCCTTTGAGGGTAGAATTAAGGTGTGTTTTTCTCTCTTTCTCTGTGTTTGTGTGTGCGTGTGGTGTGTGTGTGTGTGAGAGAGAGAGAGAGAGAGAGAGATAGTATGTGTGTTGTGTATTTGTGCGTTACACCTCTACTAAATGTTACATCCCACGCATCCCTATTGTTAGATGCAACGATTGTTACATCCCTATAATTGTTGCATCCCTATAATTGTTACATTCCTAATTTTTCAGTCCTATCAGCGACACGATGGTGTACAGGATTCATTCACGTTCGACAACGATCTCTTGCGATCCGTAATTAACGGAGATGGTACTATAAAAATTTACGAATACGACAAGCGACACCGAATATCGAGTTTTGTAAATACCGCCGGTGTCAGAAAACATTTGAAGTCTGGATTGGTTCTGGGAAGCAAAGAGCGGAACGGCCTGATGGTCGAAATAAGAGATGAAAAAGATATCGTTGAGGACGGGTTTTTGATTGGAAAAAACTCCATCAGCGTGTATTCAGGTGATCGCTTTACTTTTAAATTCAATTTCTTCTTAAAATGTTTTAATTTTCTGATAAATTTGATTTAAATATTTTTAAACTTTGAACATTTTTCGATGAAATTCAGTAAAATTAAATAATTATAACAATGCTAAATTACAAATTTATAACAAATAATAAAACCGAATAATTTTTCTCACCCTTTTAAATTCAACAGGCGGCAAATTTCAGCGTACAATCGAATACGATAGCGAAGAACAATCGATAAGTATTCATTTTCTGTCCGGTACTCGAATACTTTTCTCCAATTATACCGATGACTCGTCGGTACACGTTGAGAAACGGATAGTTACATTCCCAGATAGCAAAAGGGTCGAAAATACCTGGCGGATCATGAATAAGTACAGCAGTTCTGGCAATCTTGTTAAAGTTACTAAGGAGTTTAAAGTTAGATTTCACTATTGGATCTGTTTTTTATTCATTTCATTAATTATATCATCATTAATAATAATTATATTATTTGTATAATAATAACAATGATTATAATTAGTATTTGTAGTGATAGTAGTAGTAGTAGTGGTGGTAGTAGTAGTCTTACATAATTATAAAGGAAAATGGATAAAACGCTAAAATTATCAATGTCATTCTCCAACACAGAAATTATTGCTATATTTATTTATTTTTTGGTAATATGTTAGAGATTTATTAGTTTTAATCTTATATAATTCTTTATATATTGTATGTATATGTGTGTGTTTGTTTGTTTTGTGTGTTTGTATCAAACGTGTGTGTGTTTGTGTGTATGCGTGTATTTGTATTAAACAACAAGCCGTGATAATATTTCTCTAAACTCCAAAAAACTAGATCGCGAACAGATTGTTGTTTCAACATGAGCAAGAAGAAAGGTCAGAAACAATCTTCAACTCCAACCAAAAGCGAATCCTCCATCTCAACTATGACCAATACGGAAATCTAGTCAGAATCCAACCTTCGGAGCAAATTTCCGAGACCCGTTTGTTCTATAACCCCCAAGGGTCAAGGTTATTAGGTTGGGAAAGGTCAAACAGTACGGTGAGGAACATTTACGATAATGGCCACTTAACGCGGCTGGTGAATGGCGTGCAGTTTAAAAGGTATATCTACAAAGGAAATAAAGTTAGTTTTAATTGCGGTTGGTTTTTTATTTGGGGTCTTAATTATTTTTTTTTCAAATTTTTCAGTTTCTTAATTGATTTTTTTTTAAATTCTACAACGCCATTTGTATTTGTGTGTTAGAGGAAGTTTTTTCATTGTCATGGTTATGACATTAAACTGACCCTCACTGCCTTGTGAGTGATGTTGGATCATCAAAGGCTAGGCCCACCGCTTATAACTGTGGTTGCGTAAGGAAGGGCGTCTTGCGTAAAAATTAGCCAAATAAATTACTTATGATGGAATGGCGTCGAGGGGTATTTCGGTTTCATCATAGGTAGCCAAACGGCAACCCCCGATCTCGGGGGAAATGTCGTCTAAACGTGTGTTGTTGTTGTTAAAAAGTTTTTTTCATAAATTTCTCTATTAAAATTTAAATTTTTGGATTAAAATAACATAAATTATTAATTTTCATACATTATATTTTTTATAAAAATAAAAAATAAAATTTACAAAAAAAAATAATTTCACCCAACCTACCATAGCTCCACGAAATTTTAACTCCTTCTGGAAAACCCTACCGCTACCACTACGACAGCCACGGCCTCATAAAGGGCGTAACCACTCCCTCCAACAACAGTTTCTACTTTCACGATTTACAATCCTTCAACACGTACCGACAAATATTGAAAACCGATATCGGTATCTATTCGCGAAGTTTCGATCCATTGGGTAGGCCACTTTTAGTTCTGCTGCCTAGCAACCATCGCCGAGTGACTTATCATTATTCGCGTCACGGTAATCGAGTCAGTGTTTTTACCGATCTGGCCGATTATGTCTACGATTTCGATCCTCACTTTAAGGGGAATCTGAGATGGGCCAATGTTACCGATCGTGTCGGACTCGATTTTCATTGCTCCATCGGTTTCAACGTTAGCGATTGTGTCGCAGTGAAATTGAATTTTTTATTTTAAATTTAAATTTATGAATTTATTTTGTTCAGAGCGTTAATTGATAAAAACATTGAAATTTGAATGGTATTTAATATTCATACATTTAAATTTACAAAAAAATTATGATAATAATTTCGTTTAAATAACTAAATATATTAACGTTTCACACAGAGCCGAGATTCATTCATTACATCTCAAACGGTTTCTTTCTCTGGGGAAGCCAGAGTAAAATCGAATCTCTCCAATACTCGATACCGATATTATTACGACGAATTCGGTCGGATCACTCACACGAATATTTCAATCGCCGAACTCGACTATCAGTCGAATATGGAATTTAATTTCTGTAACATCACCGGCAGTTTGGAAGGTTCCAAACCATTCACCTTCCAGAGACTCGCAACATCCAGTCCAGAACTGATAATAACATCAAAACTAAACGATCAAATTGAATTACTCAAAATCTTCGATAGCTTAACTCGCTTAAAAGAGATGTACCTCCGATTAATTGCCAGTCAAATTCTATACCACTTAAAAATCGACTACAACGAAACAAGTGGCAAACTGAAAAAAACCGCCACAAAAATCGGTCCAGGTAAATTAAAAGAACAAGAATACATTTACGACAGTGATGGCAACCTACTCGAAATCGCCGGTCCGAATATTTGGAAATACGGTTACGATAATAATGGTAACATCGCTAAAATTATCACTTATAAGACGGTTGAACAGGTTATAATGAATAGAAAAGAACAAATTGAAAGCGTTGGTGAGGAGGTTTATTACTACGACGGTGACGGGTTTTTGAGTAAGAGAGGGAAAGAGATTTTTGAGTTCGATCCAACTGGGAAATTGAAAAGAGCACATCTCTCTGATAAGTATGACGTCAGGTAATTTTGTGACGTAATCATTTTTTTCTAATTTTTTTTCTGGTTTTTTTTTTCTCTTTCTCTACAATCTTCTTGATGCAATTATATGTACGTATATAAACTTTTAACTGTTATTCAATTATTCATTCGATCAAACAACAATTAATCAACTATTCGTTCACTCATACATCCATGTATTCACTCAAATGTTAATTAATTAATTAATTCATTCATTCATTCATTCAATAATTCATTCATTCATTCACTCATTCACTCAATTATTCATTCCTTCATTCACTCCATCAAACAATCAATACCTCTTCAGATACTACTACGATTCCCGACATCGTTTAGTAGCTCGCCACGAACTCATCTCGGGCTCGAAAGTGCAATTTCTCTACTCGGATCTAGTCCAGAGAGACCGAATCACACATGCCATTGATACACTCGATGCAATACCGACCGGTAAAAGTAACATTCGAATCACGCAATTCTATTATGCGCCAGATGGTGTTCTGTTTGCGCTAAAACGAAATTCCGCTAGAAGTGGTGATGGTAGTAATCGTGGCAATGATGATGATGATGATGATGGTGAGGAAAAGGAAGATGATGATGATGATGATGACAGTAACTATTCGTTTATCGTTGCCGATGCTTTTAATTCACCGACTGCTGTCATCAAAGCCGGTTCGTTTTGCTGTTTGTCTTCGTTGAAATGAAAATAATTAGAGATGTAAC